AGTGTATATAAAATTTATGTTTAAACTATGCTGTAGTCTATTAAGTGTATAGTAGCTTTATGTCTACAAAAACAATGTACATATCTTAATTTAAAAATACAAAGCAAAAAACAATTACAACGGTAATTCCCATATTGCAATTTGCCTCTTGTCCCCATCACATGAATAAAATTGTTCTAAGTCATGGGTCATCTGTATACTGACAAAGGTAACAAACCTGCAATCCTCACTTTATGAGAATTCTTCATACAGTATCTATCATCAATCACGCCCTCCTTCTTGAAATTCTATTGGTTTTTCTGATGAAACTCTTCTCATTTTTTTCCTGCCTCTCATCATCCTTCCTCAGCATCCTCCCATGGTTGGGCTTATTTTCTTCTTTTAAATGTCAGTATTTCTCAAGACTGTCTGTCCTGGAAGATCTGCTCTTATTAAACATGATTCCTAAAGACCTCATAAAAATCCATGGATTCAACAATCTTTTATATGCAAAACTCCCTGAATTCAAATGTATATAGCTCCGTACTAGATTAGACTTGACTGCAGGCTATCCCACATGTATCTTGTCTAACTTAGACAATAACATCTTTATCCCCCAAATTTCACACTCTCTCTTTATTCAGGTTACCTGGAATCAATACTCCCAGGTCGGTAACACAGGAATTATTTTAGATCTCCTCCACCTCATTTACCCACATTCAATCAGTCACCAACTTTTGAAGATCTACCTTTACCCCTCAAGAATCCGTCCCTTCATGGCTCTTCCCAGAGTCTCTGCCTTGGAACATGTATTTTCATAAAAACTACTTCGATATTCCCTTAATTATCCTGTCTGCAACCTAGCCTATTTACATCCACACCACTTTCCAATGATTTTTTTTAATAACTGAAAAATTTGTTTATTGATGACCCATAGCTTGTGCTCTTGGATATTCTATTTGTCTCCTCTACTTAGGATGACCTCTCCCCACCACCTTTCACCTACCTCATCTACTATGCCCTTCAAAGTTCAAGCCTTGTGTCTCCCTCTCTGGAAGGCTCCCTCTCTGTAAGTGTATACTATACATATCCTCCTCCTATAGTGCTAGCATAGCACCTTGGACATGCCTTTCCTAAAACCTGTGACTCTACAGTAGTCACAGAATTTATTAGACTATTTTCCATGAAAAAAGAAGCAACCCAAGACCAGCAGACGGCTGTCTGCCCTTGTATTCTCATCAGCAAGTATGTGTCTGCTCATGTGCAAAGTCTGTACCACGTATGAATGATTTTAGAAAAACTGTGTCTAAATAAGAACCCATATAAACATATCTATAACTAGAATTGATTGACTATTAGTAAACTGGTACAAACAGAGGTACAGAAAAACGTATAAGAGAAATATTCCAGCTCCACAAAATCATGCTGTTTTTCCACAAAAATTTAAGTCATGCATGGGGATCAGAAAGCAGATCTTAATATCCTATTAAGGCTTCTCTAAGATTAAAAATGTAAAAATTGACCAGGTACTCTGGATTGGATTGCTATTGACTGTTCCACACTATATTACAAACCTGTGTCTAATATAACCAAGTTGTTAGATAGAATAGTATAATTTAAAAAAAAAAAAAACCAGGATGGTGATTGTGATGCATCCTTGAAAAACTTTTCAGTCTTCAATAATCAAACAAAAATAAAGAAGGATTTGGTCATTGTAAATCCATTCCTTAAGGTCTTGCCAATTTATTCCTGCATAACACACAGCTCAATTTAAAATATTAGCTCTCATAGAACTCTTTCAGGTTTTTGCTGTCATTGTTTATTTTTGTAGGAGTTTTCTGTTATCTTGCTTGTTTTCACAATTCATTATTGTATATAACTTGAAGGAACAAATTTCCTAAGGACAAAGCCATACCAAGAGAGTGTAAAAATATAAGTAAGATGTTTAGAAAAAACAGTAAGTAAAAGTTCCAGTTTTCCAATCTATATGTCATTTTAGCCCTGACCTAAATATTGTAAGTCTGCTTGAATTACAAAATTTTGGTTACAGAAAAATGGTAGTGAAACTAGAGCTTGAGATTCTATCTCCAATTATGACTCAGAGTTACACTGTTCCAGGAACAGACTGTAAACCTAGATCCAGTAAGCCATCTCAAAATGAATTTTGTTGTTCACAGGAAGAACTCAAAAGTACACTGTATGGAATGGGAAAAAACTGTCACCAATGTAAAAACAGTGAAACAGCATTTTTAAATGTGAAAGACTCACATTCACATAGTTTAAGAACTGCATTTTTCAAACATACCTTGTCCATTAATTTACTTGCATGAAGACTCAAGCTATTGAAGAATATTTTTTTGCTCAGCAAATGCATTTCTTCAATGGTAGTCAGTAACGTAGTTGCACTATTTCCAACAATGCCACTTAAAAGCAAAGAATATTTCAGATTGCAAAACATGCTAAAACAATTCAGTTCTTTAACTGAGTGTAAGTGTTTAAAAAAAGATCTAGATTTAAACAAAAGTTTTTATATAGAATATAACCTGCAAGTTAAAAACAATTATTGTAGTTTCATATTAAAATGAGGTGTTTTTTTCAAGTTAGGTGACAAACAAATGAAAACAAACTACAGTGTCTTCAATATTCCACAATCTCAAAAAAAAATTCACAATCTCTTTAAGAAAAGCAGTGGGTTAGAACAATTATGCAAACCCATGCTTCTGTTTTTCTTCTCTTACAGTAAATGTATGTCTTGATTATCCAAGATCTCATTTTAAGGAAGCCATTCCCTCAACAGCTATATTGAGAAAATATTTTATTTACTTAATTTTTTGGGGAGGGTGGGGGTAATTAGGTATTTATTTCTATAGAGGTACTGGGGATCGAACCCAGGACCGCATGCATGCTATGCACTCACTCTACCACTGAGCTACACCCTCCCCTGAGAAAATATTTTCATTTTATTAATACTGAATTACTTTTTAAATTAAAACTGTTACGCTGTACCAACAACACACCAGTAAATTATAAAGTTTCTCATTTTTCATACTGCTGCCTAAATAGCAGTATATTTAGACTAATTATGAAAAATCTGGTATCATTTAAAAATAATTATTAGTACATTCCATAATTCTCTATTTGCTATCACAAGGATATTTCTTAGACCCATTCAGTAGGGTTTCCCAATTTGGGCAGGATGTAAGACAGGCATGTATATGAAACAGTCCCCAGTTTTATTCTCCTATTCATGTACTGAAAGTGATTTTAAAATATGTTTTTAGAGGAAAAGTTTTTTGTTGATGCAAAAATATACTGTAATCTGGTAGGAAATTATAATTTCTAAAGGCACAATAACATCTTACTACGACTACAAACATTCAGATTGCTGAAGTTAATGTAATGGCACTAATACATATTGGTAGATAGTAAGCAAAACATACAGCAAATTTACTGAGAACTGATATATAACATGATACATTATAAAAGCAAGTACTATGTATTTCAATACATTTTAAAACTAAAATAAATTTGAACTCGTACATGGTTAATGCAGACAAAGCAAATTATCAGTTTTATGTACTACATAAAACATGAAAGTATTTCAGTAAAAAATATTATAGCTTAACACGAAAATAAATTGGAAGGTGCTCCCACACATGCCTATTCATGTAATAAAGTAAGTATGTCTTTGAATAAAAGAATGATACATCAAGCAAGGGGGGAAGAAGAGTGAATGAACACAAACAGCAACTGATATTTTAATGAAAAAATCGGAGAGACATCAAGATCCATTTACATTCATTTTTTAAAATGTGGAGTTATCAACCACATTTTGCAGGTACTCAGATCCAGAGTTTACTAATGTTTACTGAGTCCTCGCCAGGTCCCAGTCACTGGACTGAACATTTGTGGATGCTACTTGTATTCCCCTTCATATTCCTACCCACTGTGCTTTCACTCCTATTGATTGTTCGGCTTTAGGGATTATACACAAACTCCCTGAGGCAGAAGACGAGTTAAATTCTACAGAGCTCCTCCCCCATCACAATATACTCAAACCCCATCTTCCCCAGGCTTCCTAATACAGTTATACCCCAGGGCTCTGGTAAATAGTCAACGTTTACATTATTACAAGCGTGTAAATACTCATCAGGGAACCCAACACAAGGGAAAGAGCAGGCTGCTCAAGACGACAAACCCGAGTGACAGGCGCGTGGCAGGTCTAGAGAGCAGCCCGGGGAGACTGGAGACGCAGGACAGGGGCTCCAAGGGGATGTGGGGAGAGGAGAGGGAGAGAAGCTGGGAGGATCACTGGATGTGCCTGACTACATGGCGAAAACACAACACGGAGTCCACCTAGCAGTTTGGGACTGAAACCGCATTACGGGCAAGGAAAGCAAGCAAGCACAGACACCGAGCAATTTTCAACTACAGAGAGAGAAAGTTTTACAGGAAAGGAAATGTAACCAAAGTACGCTGGATTTTCCCCACATCTCCCTTTTTGGGGTTTTGGCAGAACCTATCCTCTCCGAGTTTTAATGCAAAGGGGGCAAACATTTTTTGAGAACTTGAGTTTTTCCTACTTTCCCCAACCTCACTGGATATTCCTCCCCAGTTTTCTTTGTTTCTTCTCTTCTTAACCTCTAGACACTGATCTACGCTCACTTCTGATGTGATTTTACATGGTTCTGTGGCTTCAAATACCTATACGCTGTAAGTTACCAAATTAATAGTTTCAGTCTTTTTTTTTTTCTGTGTTCTCTGCTCACTTGACATCTCCTACTGAATGTTCACAAGGACACGGAATCTGACTCAGCCAAAACTGCAGTGAACTCTTCATCGCCCACCCACCCCTGTCAACACAGTCCTCTCCAGCACTTCCGGTCTCAGCACATGACAATACCATTTTCATCTGGCTGTTCAAACCGACAGCCAAGAACCTGACTCCTCACACCTCACTCCATCTAGTCGATATGCAAGTACTATTAGCTAGAACATAAAATATCTCCAGAACCAACTAATTCTTACCACCTCCAAATCTACCAACCTAGTCTGACTCGTCCTCACTTCTGCTCAGAACCACAAACTGCTTCCTAGGTACCTTCCCTGATCCCCTTTCATCCCACTATGCTACACGATCCACACAGTACCCAGAGCCCCTTCCTTACGTCATAAATCGCTCCCGTCACTCAGAATCCTCCCACATCATCTTTAACATACTGAGAGTAAAATCTAACTCCTCACCATGGCCTACAGAGTCCTACATGGGTCTGGACTCTGCCTCCCTCTTTGATTTTATCTCCTCTTAACTCCTTCCAACTCACTCCACTCCACCTCTGGCATTCTTCTGGTCCCCTAGAGTCCAAGCTTTTCCTGGCCTTGGGCCCAGGGTGTGCCTCTGCCCAGGACACTCTCCTTCAAATGCTTTTCACACCCGGCTCCACATCATTCAGGTCTCTGCTCAGTGGTCACCTGCACCAGCAGGCCCTCAAAGGCAGTCATACTCACATAACACCTACTCACACAGATCCCTCCCTGTGTTTTCTAATGCCTTTCTCCCGCTGTATTTCTCCTCAGTGCCCTTGCTGCTATTTAAAATTATTATTTGATACTTGCTTGTCTGCCCCATTAGAATGTAAGTTCAAGCTCTGTTTAGTTCACTGTCATTTCCTTAGCACCTAGAAAATGACATTTATAGTTAACTTTTCAGTTGACTACATGAAGAAATGTGTTAACAAGCAGAAAAAGTACATGCAAAAAATGTATCAAAAGATACTGTCATCTTCAAAATTATCATCTTCAAAGACAGAAAAATTATAATTCTCAGAGCCTAAAAAAACCTATCATCTTCAGAATCCAAATGATTTTATTCTTAGCACTCTCTTATCATTATCTTCAAGTAAGAAATTTCATGCAGCACCATCATGGCATAACTAAATAGATTATTTAAAAATTATTTTACCACTATCTTTTGCATAATACAGCATTAGCTATATTTCAGCTGCTCCTGTGTTTTCTAAATATGCATAATTTTCTTATTTTAGGAAGCCTAACACATTACAACTGAAACTAATTTATTGCTTTTGAGTCATGGACAGCGGTGATAATAAATTTGTATCTACAATGTTAGACAACTAACCCCAATCCTATCTCTGATTAATTTTGTGGCCTGCAGCTTATTAGTTCTGTTGAAAAATCTATCAATAAGATATGAAATCTGTCTCTTAGCTGTGAGCTTTGGGTGGCTAATCTCAGCCACCAGGAGGCAGGTAACAGCGCTGCCACATTCTTTTGGTGCTTCTTGAACTAGTGATCCCTGTGCATCCATCGGATCTGTTAGTTACAACAACCCTCTTGGATTTTAACAACTGGCCTTCTGTTCCTGATACTGGCATTCTTGATAACAAGTAATTTTAAAGCATTTTTTAGTAGACTAATATAAAAACTATCAAAAACAGAGCCTGGAAAAACACTGTTTGAACACAACTACACGTGTAACATGGTCTTATGGTGACATTTTCAGTTAAGGCTCAAGTGTATGCATACCATCAACAGATACATGCAAAATGAAAATGAATGCAAATTTGGGAGTCAAAGATCATATTTTAGATAAGGCAAGTGGTTCCTAAGCAGATAAAGCTGTTTTTATTTAGAGGAGGTAAAGCAATGGTTTCTGTTTTATCACTAATGGAAAACTAAATGTTAAAGGTGAATTTATGTTATTTACATCCAGAATAGGACATTTCACTAATTACGCCCTATTCTGAGTATAATATGTAGTTGCTTTAGGTGTTGTGGATCTCTTTTACTAATACAGGAGGACTCAATAAACACTTGTACAGATTTACACCACTCCCTAAGTTGTGTGTGTGCTAGTGTGTGTGTCTGGTTAGGCTGGGAGAAGAAAGGGAGAAGGAAAGGCTGCACCTCAAAGTACAGCACGTATAATGCACACAAGATGAGTCACATGGTGTGGAGGCTCTGCCAGCTGGTCATGCAAAGAGAATGTACACACAAAAAATATTACACTGGGTTCTAACTGAAATGAGGTATCACATCGGATTTAACAAGCACATTTAAACATTACACTTACCTGATTGTATGGTGGTAAAATTTAAGGAGGTTAGAAATTTTGTATAATAAAACTGCTCCAGGTTCAGCAACTATTACTTGTTCAATTCGAACCTATTAAAACATGTGAGAAAAAAGTAAACATTTCTTAAAAGTGTAACTTCTCTTCATTAATCACATGTAGTATGAATAGCATTAAAAAATTAAATTTTATCATTGCAGAAATCACAAAATTCCTTTCAAGTTATTTCTGAACATTAAATTACAAAGGATGGTAAAATAACACAAACATTTTAACACAGATATACACTACAAAAAAGTGATCCTTTACCTACAGAATTTGGTTCAAGGCAGTTGCTATGAGAAACTCAACACAGTGATTAGATCATCTTTAAGTTTTTCACCAGCACATAAGGGACTTTAGCTCAGCACTAAACGGCAAAGAAGCTGTGACATTCTAAAAACAGATTATCAGTGAAAACGTACTGCTCTATGGACAAATATTCAGAAAAAATTTCTTTAATTCTTATCTTTAAACTACTCTACCAAGTTTCTTTTTATATTAGAGAATAAGAAAGCAGATAAATCTCAAATTAGCACTAACATAATCTGTCTAATTATACTACTACCAGGGCAATATCAGATCTAGTTCAAGATTAACTTGATCTGCTCAAGATTAACTACTCGGAGTCCTTTCTAATTAAACTCCATCCCTCACTAATCTTTCCCTTACTTTATATTCCCTAATTAGTAAATACAATCTAAACCACACCGGGTGTGCTTACTTACACCTTCTATCTATGCTTAAGCTGCTGGTGACATTGTGTCTCCTTGTTTCCTAACTAGATTCTAAATAGACGTGTTTTCTGCTTCTCCTACATTTCTGCAGCATCTGATAAAACAGTACATTTGCAACAGATGTTTAATAAACACGTTTGAAAGCACTTAGATCTTGAAGTATAATACCAATAAATGTGATCTGCTAAAATGGTATTTTATACATACAAGTATATATGAGTGTACAAAAATCTGTTGTATAGAAACTGATCTCTATATTAACATGTTTATGAAACTGACACACCTTCTGGCATAAGGTAACAGATTAGTTAACTACCACAATATTATAAATCATGAATGGTATTTGAATTTAAAAACTGTAATTTTCACATTGTAATTTGTTTCTAGGTCCAAGGCCTCAATAGTGATTTAAATTATCTGTCTTATCAATATAAGTGATATTTTCTGAATTTCAATATAACTATTAGGACAAATATAAAGAGTGTTAATTGCAGACAGCTCTTCCCTAGCAGATTTATAACACCATCTCAGCTATCTGGCAACCTGCCTTCTAGAATTTTCAGGCATGGAGAAAATACTCTTCATTCCAACTTCCTTAAGAAGAGAGAAAGAAGAGGAGAGGGGGAAGGAAGAAAGAGAAAAAGAAAAGGAAAACAACATTCACCTCTTCACACATACTAACGGTCTGAGGGAAAGCGGCATCCTTTCAGCTGCAGTGAAAACAGAGCAAGGCTGAAAACTCAGGAGACTTATGTATGACGCACCAACACTGGTTAGTTTACCCACTGCTTCAGGAGGATTATGTAAGAGACCACACCATTTTCAGCAAAAATCAACAGTCACAGGAAAGACACAGGAGTTAAGAGAAACAAAAATAAACAAGTGTAACAGACCAAGTGGGACTCACAGTGGGGACGCCAGCGGAGGTAAACGGTCAGCTGAGCTTTAAAGCAGGGATGGGAGTAAGGGCTCAGCCAGGAGGTGCCTGCAACAGCTCCTGGCACAGAGTAAGCACTCGGCAAATCCTAACTGCGTTAGACGCGGCAAAGATGATAAAGGCAGACATCGAAAGCAGCACAAATGGGCTGGATGGAATGTGACCACCTCGGGGAGAGGCGAAAGGCAGAGCAGGGCTCTCCACGCCCAGGCAGGCGGAGAGGGGCAGCAAAGGCGAGAGGAGGAGAGGCCGCACTTGTGGGACGGGGCAAAGGAGAGGGAGGACTGAAAGGGACAAGGACAAACCCCCTTTACCAACATCAGACAGCTGCTCAGGGCAGATGTTCGTCCCCAAGCTACATCAGCAATCCAGGGCACTGGGACTGTCTCACACAGGCAGCTTTCACTGTCTGTTCCCTGCCATTTATCTTTGCACGCACAACTATTTTCACAGAAGCCGCCATAGTTTAAGAAGGTCAGGAGCATACAATAGACTGAAGTTTTTATTGAAAGAGATAAAATTCAAATGTCAGCGATCTAGAACATTCACACAAAAGAAACAACATTTCACCTATGGACTTGAAAAATAAAGAGAAAGTACATCTATTTTGAGGTTTCTAGCTACAACTGTGAGGGAAGGAATCCGCGAAATCCCAGGCCTGATGCTGACGAGCCGCAGAGCCCTCCCCTCAGTGCATGTGACTTCAAGTTCAGAGCACAGATTTTAAAACTGGAAGTAACTTTAGAGATCATGTCCTAACGCATATATTTACAACTATATAGTCTATACCTATGGAGTTTCACTTTGTTAACACTAAGAAAAGGTTAAATACAGGGGAGAGTAAAACAAATATACAGTTTTGCAAGGATATCATCCCATCACTACAACATTTTCTTTGTTTCAAACTTTCATCTGCTTTGAAAAGAATTCATTACCACAAAGACAAACGGTTGAATAACAGAAATTAAGCCAGAACATCCAATATTACATGTCACTATGAAAAGTTTAGCCACTTACCAATTAGGAAAAATTTTTGGAATGTAAAAGCAGGTAAGTCACTAAGAAAAATATTCCAAATTATAATTGAAAAAGAAAATAATAAACTAAGCTTTTTCTCAGCTAATAACTGTATCACTGAGAGCATCAGATACCCAAATGAGGTCCTACAGAAAGAACTATTAGTATAGTGTAACACTGTCTACAAGTGCACAGAGGAAGGGAAGAGTTGCTGGATCATGTACCGCGTCACTGCGTCACTGCATCACTGCTAACTTGATGTGTACCTACTAGTGAACACCTGTTAAATATTCCCTGGAGTGTGCAATAAACATATACTA